TAATTGGCAGTCTTGTTTTATAAAAGCAAAATACCAATGTATCAGTTCATATAAAAATATACTTTTTTTTCTCTTCTGCAGTTTGTTTGCGTTGTTGTCAAAAAAACACAACAAAGTTTTGGAGCAAGCCACACAGTCCTTGAGAAGTTCTCTTGCTTCAGATGACTCTCCACTTCCGGATTATGTGAGTACGAATCTTAGTGTTTTAGGGGAGTGTGTCAAAATAGCATATCCCAAGCCTGCAGAAATCTGTCAAAGTGTATGACAACCTGGCAACCATCAGCATCAAAATATAGGAAGCTTCACTCATGACATCATGTCTGAAACTCACTAAGGAAAAAAAACCTAGTTGCAAATAGCAAAATAAAAACCACAGCTATTCATAGCTAAAAGATTTACTTTAGTCTGACAACTTGTAGCTCTTGAACATTTGCATTTGATTGCCATTAATATGGCAGTCAGGGAAGGGTGGGGGAGGTATTGTGGCAAAATACTATGATATCCTGAGGATGCAAACCACCAAAGTACTGCCTTTAGCTAGCATCCAACCATCTACAGCAAAAATACATAAAGCTGGTGGTTATTGTGTAGTTTGATTTTTAGTTAATATACATTAGAGGTCATGAAGATGTAGCAAACTTCAAAGAAAAAACTTCAACTAGCATTAAAATATATGGCAACATATTTTTATATGACAGTATATTCCTTCATGCTTCTGTTCTAAACTTGCTAAACTAAGTGGTTTCCCAAAAGTTAGATGCTTAAGTTCTAACATAATCCCTAGTACTTCAGCACAGCTCTAACTGTATTTAAAAAGTGGTCTTAATGTGAAACTTAAATGCCTTTCCAAATCAAAGCAATGCAATGCAGATAGAATAGCATTCCAGTACACATTTGGATATACTGTACAGTACATCTGTTATACTCAGCAGTTCTGATGTAGAAGGTGGTGGGTGGTAGGATTGTGTACATGTGCAGATATCTTTAACTGGATTCTTATCCAGTTTTTTCCCCTGTCTTTCAAAGCCTATGTTCATTTGCTGTCCTTTGTCACTGATTAGTTTGAATTCCTACTATCAACCTAACTTCCTGTTCTCAACTTATGCATAGATGTATATTTTAGTACCAGTATAGTGTAGAGGTTTCAGTATTGAACTATGACTGGAGATCAAGTGTTCAATTCTCCACTTAGCCATGGAAAGTTACAGGGTGACCTTGGGCAAGTCACAGAGTTACAGCCTGAGAAAGCCCCATCATAGGGTCACCTTAAGGTCTCCAACAGTCGGAAATGACTTGAAGGCACATAGTGTCAACAATATTAATTTAAAGCATTTTTATCTTACTCTTCAGCCTACAGAGCTCCTACAGCACTCATGGTTCTGTTAATCTTTTAACTGCTGTAATTAAACCTTTATTACATATAAAAAGATTTAAACAAAGAAAAAATGATAAGCATCATATGGGAAAGCTGCTGGTTCAACACTGGAGTTTCAGCACCCAAGTATTCCCTGCTTTAAAAGCTGAGCACTTTCCCCATTCCTGCACCACGGTACACATTTGTTGTCGTTAACTGCCCTCAAGTCGATCTCAACTCATGGCAACCCTTTGGATGAGACATCTCCAAGACCTTCTGTCCTCCACTGCTCTGCTTAATTCCTACAACCCATAGGGTTCATCCATCTGGCATGGGGCCTTCCTCTCTTCCTATTTCCCTCCTCCTTCCCCAGCATTATTGTCTTTTCCAAAGAGTCCTCCCTTCTCATGTTGAGTCCTATTTCATGGTGACCCTGTGGATGAGACATTTCCAACACCCCCGTCCTCCACTGCTCTGCTTAGGTCCTGCAGATTCAGGCACGTGATCTCCCCGATTGAATCTATCTGTCTGGTGTGCAGTCTTCCTCTTTTTCTATTACTTTCTGCTGTCCCTAGAATTATTGTATTTTCTAATGAATCATGCCTTCTCATACTATGACCAAAATACAACAGCCTCAGTTTCATCATCCTGGCTTCCAGGCAGAGATCCAGCTTGATCTGTTCTAGGACCCATTTGTTTGTTGTTTTGACTGTCCTCAGTACCCTCACCACTCTTCACCAACACCACATCTCAAATGAGCTAATTTTCTTTCTATCTGTTTAATTCACCATTTAGCTTTTGCATCCATACATGAAAATGGAATACGATGGCTTGGATTATTCTGCATTTCATGATCAGTTGTATATTTATATACTTTACGATTTTGTCGAGTTCTTTCATGGCTGCCTTCCCATTCCTAGTCGTCTTCTTACTTCTTGACTGCAGTCTCCGTTCTGATCAATGTTTGATCCAAAGCACGGGAAATCTTTAACTATTTCGATTAGGAAACCATACACCCCCTTCTCTACTCATCAAAAGGGTGAACTCGATCCTCCTGGAGACTGCAGAATTCACTGCTCTGCAGCTCAGTTTTCATGGCAGGAGAAACATATGCACTTTTGCTTTAAAATGCAATGTGCCAAGAGCATGTCTCTTGTTTTAAAGCTGAATCAGACATTTGGGAGTACAGTTCTGGTTCAAATCTGAACCTGGAGGTGCTGTACAGTTTTAAACTAAATTGTTTTAAATGCTTTTTATCTTTTAATTGCATTTTATCTTTGTAAGTATAGTTTCAAATCATTTTGTTTAATTCCATGTTAATGTTCACCTTTTTGGTATGGTTTTAGCTTTGTGGATTTTAAAATTATAAGCTGCTTTGAGTCCCTATTTTGGGAGAAAGGCAAGAGATAAAATAAATACATTGCGCCCACCCCAGCTGTAGATTTGAGCATCCATGGATAGCAAGCCCCATTGATTTCAATGACCATGCATTCACACAGCCATGGAGAGCAGCTGCACATGCATGCGGCACCACTGAATAAATACCACAGGACTTGAGATCCCATTTTTCTTTCCATCTGTGGGTGGGGTCCGGATCAGAACCCTCATGGATAAGAAGGGCCCACTGAATGATGATGATGAAGATTTGTTCTCTACATGTCTTCTTTTAAAGTAAAAATCCACACCCCGCTGGAGGGAGGCATTTGATCCACAAACTAGGTTGGGAATACATGTGCCCCATTGGCCATGTGGTGTCCAATCTTGCCCTGCAGAGTATTCTAGAGTGGGTTAAATTGGGTTCCCCCTTAGGTGATGTGGTTGACCTAGGTTTCAAATCTTGATAACCACCTGGTCTATGAAATACCTACTGGTGTGACATGTGATTTCTTTTGGAGGATGAAGAGACAGGTGCCCTTAGTTCTGAAATACAAACTGACTTTTCCAGTCAGAAAGTCTGGTCCTAATAGATAGGTTTCAGTGTTAACTAGGATTTGAAAAATGTTAGCTCCTTCTCAGACAAAAGTGGTGACAGGACAAATCTGAAGAAAGTTTTAGTGATCTCTATTAAGATAGATTTGTGAACAGGGTTAATTCCCTTCCTACCAGAAGAGTGAAATTTTCCTTACCTGCTGTGCAGGTCTGATTGGAGGCACAAAGCTCCTGATGTAATTCAGTATCCTCCCCCTTGTATTAATAATCCAAATAACCCCTGTTATGAAGCTGCTGAATGGGATGCTTCTCTTGTTCCCTTTCATTCTCAGCTAATGCGCCATAAAAGAGTCCATGAGGTCTCCTGTTTAGGTTCATCTTATATTTGTCTATTGCAAATAGAAAGCAGCTGCCAGTTTCAGCATCTAGCTCTTGAAAAACTTTAAACCCCTCAAGCATCATCTGGAAATAATATAGCTTGTAAAACAAAGCTAAGAAGAAAAAGCAATGTTTGTTTTATGTGGGATGAATGACTTCAGTTGGGGTCCTTCTAATTTGCCCATTAGGAGGGTTATTAAAAAGCAGTATTACAAAGGTGGTTTCAACAAAAAGGTTGTTTTTGCTCTATCTTGTTATTACATTTGATTATAGCCAAAGCAGTAAGTACTTTATAAATAGCCCTTCATTTCATTCCCCCAGCAGAGAAGCAAAAGACTAGTAATCTTACTGTCTTCATGCACTTGTGGATGCTAAATTACTCCCCTATATTATGTTAGTTCCTTAAAGCAAATTGTGTTTTAGAAGTCATATTTAATTTCCCCTTACATGTTCTGGCATGTGAGTCTTGCTGCTGAAGGATAGTCCAAGAAGTATTAGCCATTTTTAAAGTTAGCTATAACAGTACTAAAAGTGGGATGATGTTGGAATGAATGCTATCTCTTTTTAGGAAACCATGTGATTTTCAGTATGTGTAGGTTCCAGGTCATGTGATACAAATAATGATCCAAGGCAGTGCCATCACTAGGGTTGGCGTCACCCAGTGTGGTAACTCATGGTGTCACCCCCCTTGACCTCCTCCCATCCCACACCATACAGAATCCTACTAATCTTTTTTGTACTAATGTTACTCATACATTGTAATTCCCATATATTACTGAATGTAATGGTAATAGTTGTGACATAAACAACCAGCAAAACTAAAAGTATACTTTTAAATTACAATATCATATTTACAGCTTAAATGTATGTGGTTATTTTGGTAAGTAAGATGTGATGTTTTAACGAAGATTTAAAAGGAATAAAAATAAATTTAAAAATTATAAAATAAAAATTTTAATTTATTTTTTATTTTAAAAAACCCTGAGGCTACTTCTTTCTCCTCCCACTGAGCCTTGCCCCACGCAGCATTTTAAAGGGACACGGGAATGGCACTGCCCATTTCTGCCTAAAGGCAGATGTTTGGGGAGCAGTGGTGTCTCTCCCCTTTAGCATGTCACCTGGTGCTGCCAACACACCCCTAGTGACACTCCTGATCCAGGGTAAGTGAGGCCACAGTTATAGACACACTTTGTTGTTTGTTGTTGTGTGCCTTCAGGTCATTTCCTACTTGTGGCAACCCTATCATGGGATTTTCTTGACAAGATTTGTTCAGAGGAGGCTTGCCATTGCCTTCCCCGTGGCTTGAGAACATGTAACTTACCCACGGTAACCCAGTGGGTTTCATGACCAAGCAAGGAATTGAACCCTGGTCTCCAGAGTTCTAGTCCAACACCCAAACCATTGCACCATCCTGAAAGTAAATCCTGTGGAATGCATTAAGACTTCTAAACAAATATACATAACACAGGATTGTAAGCATGTGAACTTTGATGGGGGGGAGGGAGAGAAAGCTTATGTCTAAACACAACAATTTCAAGAAAACATTTTTGACAGTATGTAGGTGTGCTGACGCTTACTTTACACAAGACTTGCATCTCGGAACCTGCCAAGCCGGATTTTACTTGCTGTTCCTATAAGGCAGGATTGGAGTACCTTTGGCCTTCAAGCAGTTTTGGAGGTCAGTTCCCAAAACACTATATAGCATAGCCACTGGTATATGATTGTGAGAGTTGTAGCCTAAATCATCTGGAGAGTCAAAGGTTCTCCACCCTTGATATAAGGTGGCTTGCTAGTAGGCTGGTAATTTCTCTCTCTGTGGGCCTTTACAGACTGCCAGAAATAATGCAGCCTGAGACTACTTTAACTGCCCTGGCTCAATGCTAGGCAATCATGGGAATTGTAGTTTTTTGTGAGACATTGAGCCTTCTCTGTCATAGAGCTCTGGTGCCACAATAAACTACAGTTCCCATGATTCCCTAGCACTGAGCCAAGGCAATGAAAGTAGTCTCAAGCTGCACTATTTCTGGCAGTCTGTAAAGGCCCTGTATCTCTTTCTCTTGGTGCATGTGTGTGTTTTTAAATGCCTGCCTGGTGATCAGGCAAAAAATAGACAATGAAGGTGCATTATCAAGGACATATATCAGACCACAGTACATTTCTGGTGTGTTTTTGGCCTGGCAGATTACATGTTGTGCAAACATGTTGGATAAATGGTCCATCTGTTCAAATACAGCCAGCCATAACTGAGAGAATCCTGGGAATCTTAGCTTCCTTACCCTAAAATCATGTACCAGTTTTTATGAAGAACTTGAGCTTCCTTCATACATAATGTATATTCTGCTTCTGAGTTGTGCTGAAACAGTTCTCCATTCTCAAGAAGTAGTATTGGCCAAACTTTTCAGTTGTTGGCCTAGGAGTAAACTTGTATCCTCCGTGTCCTGTTCCTTTTGCTTCACTTGCAAAAATATTCCACTTTGGGGGAAGAAAACCATTTTTCCTGCAGTGTGGAGAGGTAATCCTTATGCTGGGGTCTCACTCCACCCTCCTATCTTTTACAAAGGGCTTAAAGAACCTGTCATCATCAGAACTGGTGATTTAGAATTAAATTAAACCCATTCACACAGAATCACACACATTCTATAATATAACTTGAATTATATTATAGTCCTGCGGGTTTGCCGCAGGATTTATCCATTCCTGATCCTCAGTATGCATAAGGAAAACTTCAGAGTCTGTTCCAAAATCAAGCTATTCCTGTGGGTTGTTTCCTCTTCATGTCTACATGTATACAGTTGTCCCTCTGTTTTCGCAGACTTGAAGTCATCGACACTTGCTTATCCGCAAGGGACAAACGGAGGGGCACAAAATGGGGCGCCTGCCTGCGGTGCACATTCACTTGCCCCCGCAGACATGCACCTCCATTCAAGCCAATAGGGCTTGAATATTTGTGTTTTTCCTTTTTCACGGGGTGAGGGTCCGGAACGGATCCCCTGTGAAAAGCGAGGGGCGACTATATTTGTACATGGCATCATAATATAATGTGTGTAACAGTTCTGCTAGCTTTGTTTATTGTTATGTTTGATCATAGACAGGAATGATATAATGGTACATTTCTATGAGTGACAGAAGCATTCCACAGCTTAAGCGGGTTCTGCTTAGCTGGGAAAGAGGCTCAAGCATACATATCAAAAGGGATATGCAAGATTTTAGAGGCCAGTACAGTCCAGGTGTTTTCCAGGCATGCTGCATGATCCTGGTGATTTTCTAGATTTCAAGTCTGAAATGAAGGACAGAAGCAGACGTCAGTGGTCTGAGTCGAAAAACCTCTCTGTTCTTTGTGTCTGTTAAAAGGATAAGGTATGCAAGTCAGTTACTCTGAGTTGTGTTTTTTGGAAGTCCCCCCCCCCCTTCTAACATGGTGTCTCAGTTGAGACTGCCTATATGTGACAGATGCAGACAGTGGTTTTGGTGGACTAGACAGTGTTGTTTCACTAAAAATGAAACTAGTATGACACACTCATTTTCTCACAGTCTGTCAGCTACTTTGGTCGCTTTAAGTATCTGCTTCTGTTGAAGAGGAAACATTTTGGTCTCATTTTTTCTAAGATTTTATGGGGAAGTGGGAAGTTG